GAGGGGCGGCAGATGCCTTGTGCGACTAGATACTCGAATTCTTGCCTTGCTGCTTTAAGTTTTTCGGGCGGTAATCGTCGAGGCCTTGAGAAAACTGGGGGTCCCTTCGTTTCTATGTGGTGTTGCACATTATGCTTTACCGGGTGGGGTGCTGTGGCAACCTCCGTCAGATTGGGAAATTCCGCCAAAAGTTTGTGAAAAGGCGTGTCTTCCCTTATTGATCTAACGGCAGCTGGTGAGCCCACTGTAACTTTTCCTCTTGAGTTCATCTTAGTCAGTGGATCGACTAGGCAGCTGCGGCGAATGTCTACTAGTAACCCGTAGTGGCGTAAAAAATCAGCTCCGATAATGGGTTGAGAGACTGTTGCCATGATGAATGGCCAGTGAAAGGTTCTTCTGAGGCCTAGATCCAGTTTGAAAAGCTTCTGGCCGAAGGTATTTATTGTCGTCCCATTAGCAGCGAAAAGTTGTAATTTCTCGGGCGATCGGTTTGCTTGCCCCTGTGGCACAGGGATGACTGACACATCTGCCCCCGTGTCGACCAGGAAGCGTTTGGCCGTTGAGTGGTCATATAGATATAAACGGTGTATTCCTAGAGTGCCGCCACCCGCACCGTCAAGTGACGGCCCTTCTAGTTTCCCTGTTGGAAACTGCAGGGTTTTGTGCACTTCAGTGCTTTTTCTTTGAATTGCTGGTGGTACCAGCATTGGCCTTCTTTCTGCGCCCCTTCGCGGCTCTTTGATCGTCTCCGGCGGTTCGTGGATCTTTCTCTAGCTTCCAGTCGTTCCAGGCGGGAGGAGATATCTAAAAGTAACGTCTGTAGCGTTTGGTCTCCCTGAGTGACTGCTTGTACGGAAACGGGACTATCGGCTGCAGCTATTATACCATCCGCCATCTCTGCCAGTTTGTCAAGGCTGTTGTTCGAGATGGCCAGGATCTGCTGGACGTTAGATGGTAAACGTTGTAAGAACAGCGACTTTAGCAGGTCATCACCTATGTGCGCTGACGCCTTGCTACGCATTTCTAACAGCAGTCTGGATGGCTTCTTGTCCCCAAGCTGCATTCCCGAAATTAAGTCTTTAAGCCTTTGCGCCTCACTGTCGGCGTATTGTCGTCACAGACGGGCTTTAAGAGCCTCGTACGGCTTGTCCACTGGGGGGTTTAGAATAATATCGGCTACGACTGCTAACTCCTCGGGCTGGAGTGACGAAACCACATGATGGAATTTCGTTACTTCTATGGTGATTCCCGCTAGTGAGAATTGTGATTCCATTTGTTTGAACCAAATTTCTGGGTTCGCTCTCCAAAAGGGAGGTGGTTTAACAGAAACTTTGGCGATTGTCCCTGATTGCGAGGGTTCCATTTCTCCTTGGGGGTGCCGCTCGAGAAAACCAAAAAAAAGTTCGTACTTACAATTGCGAAAAGAAACTTTTGTTGCGACGATCCGTCTGCCTTTATGCTTCGAGCGTTAGGGTTAGCGAGACACGTGGTCGAATAATCCACAAAATCAAGTATTTTGCTGGATAAAATTGTATCCTCACTTTAAATCTGTCCCCTCGATGCTGTAGCTGTCCACCTCCGTACAATCCGTATGCGATGTTCTTCGATGCTAGCGGATTGTAGCTGCTCGGTCCAAGCTCCTGAGATTTGCACGTGTTCGTCTTTTGTTCGGGTCACCAATGTCGGGTTACCAACTTGTCGATTAAAGTAACTCGACCGACATAACGTAAAAACATGACACTTTTAATTAACTAGTAGATTATATTCTAACTCATTCTTACAATGTTTTTTTTTAACGAGCGGTATCACAGTTCGTGGAGCGTAGCGTAGGGTCGACTGGTCGTCTCGGCAGCTAGTCCAGAAGTAGTTCATCGGCTAACGCTCCGGGCGATTTACCGCCTTACAGAAATGTTGACTATTAGTTTGCGACAAGAAATAGTTCGCGACCGCAACAAGTTTTTGAAAACAAAGTAATAAAACAATTAGCAGTTTATTGTACTTCATAGTGGAAAACTGGCAGGGTCTATTACTTTTGGGGGAGAAAATAAACAAAGTTTTACTACCCTGAAGTTGAAAAATAATACAATCCTGTGAAATTTAACAAATCTGATGTCAATAAGTAAACATTGAAATTATTTATAGTGAAATGATATTTGATAAGTTTAGTTTTTTGCATTTACAGATCAAATTACAAAAAAATATAAATAAAAAGCTCATTTTTTAAACCCATAAGTATTTTATACTGTTAGATACTAATGAAAATGTAGAAATCAAAGATATAATCATAATCAAGCATATATATATCAGTAAAAATATAAAAATTGCATTAATTTGCTTTATGTATCTAGCAGATAAAACATGCCAAGTGACATCACAAAAATTGACATAATTGGATGAGAGTTAAATAAAAAAATAATCATCTTGTTTAATGCAATATTTTTCAAAAATTAATTGAAATCAGATTAAAATTAACTTAACAGTTGGTTCATAATTCATAATATAGTCTAAAATAATGATTTTTGCATCAAGAAACTAATAATACAACTAAAAAACATTGTAGTTATTACAAATACATTTAATCTATTATAAATATATAATTTTTTATTATATTTTACCTCTTAATAAATCGGCAACATCTTGATCTCCTTCTTTAACAAGATCTAAAGGCATATGACCATCTCTATTTTTTTTGTTAGGATCAGCTCCATGCTATAACAATAAATTTGTTAAATGTATATATATATAAGAACTACATTTTACAAAATTATTTATATAAATTGTAATTACAAATTATTTAAATTTATAATTATTGATAAGAACTAACTTTCAATAGCAGTTTGACAATTTCATATTTTCCTTTAGCAGATGCTTCATGTAATGGTGTAAATTTCCATAAATCAGCAACATTGACATTTGCACCATGCTAAAATCAAAATAAGTAATTTTTTTATAACTGATATATAACATATTATTAAACTGTTCATATATTAAGTGAATCCAATAAACAATATGTACAAGTATCCCCCACTTTACAAAACTTTGCTTTACAACTGCTTCATTTTTACTAAAGACCCACTTAGTATGTTTTCACTAACTGAAAGAAATTCAAGGAAGATTTTTGCTTTTACAAAAAAGGCAAGAAACAAAAGTAACATTTAGCATTTGTTTTTCAGCCAAGCCATTTTAGTGGTATTGTACACCCCAAGTAGTGAGAGTTATCTCTAAGCTTGTTCCTGGGTACTACATTAAGCATTATACAGTCATAACCAAGAACAATCTGCGAGTATCTGTGCTTTGTCTGAGATTTATTTTGTGCATCCATTAAATACATCCTAAGGTGCAAAAAGCCTAAAAGAGCTCTTAGGAGTATTACATTTAGTGTAAAACTGGATGTAATTGTGTTTTAATTGTGATGAATGAAATGAAGACATTGTGTTAAAACATAAAGTATGGACAATAGTAATGAAAGTATAGCCAATGTCAAATTTAAATATAGTCATGGATGGTTTGATTGACTTTTTGAGACCAGAGTAGTTTCATAACTTATTTTGTAACTTACTAGAGAAAGTACTTCTGGTGTAGTTTCACTAACTACACTGTATTTATCATATCATTCCTATTTTTAATATATTATTATTATTATCATTTGATATGACCTAGTAAGTTACTCAAAAATTCTTTCCATGTAAATTAATGCTATTGCTTCTTTGCTTTATGCCATTTCAACTTACAAAAAATTTTATAGGAACACTCTAGTGAGGGAAACCTGTGTAAAGTACATGTTAATTACAATGAAACCTTCAAAATTTTTAAAAAAAAGTTTAATTTTTTTTATAACTACAGTAGACCCCCTATAAAACGGGTTCATATAGTTTGGATTCCTATATGACAGCAAAAAAATTGTGACAGTATTCGTACAAACACACTAAAAAAACTCCTATAATTTGGTAAAACATCATCGCCAACTTGTGTCGCGACAGGATTGGTCGAATCTAGACCAATAGCAGATATTGTACAAACCGTTGAGTTTAAACGAGCAGCGGACCTACTAAAACCCATTTATTATTTAACGTCCATAAAAATTATATTTATATTAATGATGTCTCCAAAGTTCAGCAAATTTTTCGCAAAAAAAATAATTTATCAGGAAGCACGCAAGCGGCATTCGATGACAAGCTCCACGACGAAAACAAGCTTAAGCAATGGCGTCATCGAACGGTGCACACTCGGTAAGTAATCCTACAATTTTTTGTTTATAGCATAGTTTATATGGATTATTCCCAAAAAATTATACGTATTTTGGAAATGTTGAGTTGAATTAGTCTAGAATAGATTCATTTTATGGAAGAAAACCTTTCAAATAGCTGTAGTCCGTAAACTGCATATGTGCCAGGCTGTGATTGGCTCATGTATTCAAGGTCTCGTAGAAAATGGATTCATAAAAACTGGAACGTATCTACCATGTTATAGGGGGGTCGACTGTATTTGTATTTTACCTTTACTAGTAATTCTGCAACTTCATAATGTCCATAAGAACATGCATTGTGTAACGGAACTAAACCACTGTAATGAAATAATTTTCAAATATGCATAATTAATTAAAAATAATACAATAAGTTAAAATTTTTATCATAATATAAAAATATATTCCAAATTATATTACATAAAAGTTTTATTTGCTAATTAATGATAGTTTACATTACAATTTTACATTACATTATATTGAAAAAATTCATTACTTGAATATATAACATCAAAAGAATCAATGTGAATTGCTCCAACAAAAAAAAAATAATGCACAAAGAAATCATAACTGACATTACCTGTTTTATCTCTCTCTATCTATTGTTTTTAATCAAATGCATGAATTATTTGTATACTAAATCAATTAATTCTGTTAACATATTATAGTTTTTAAACTGTACTAAAATAAATTAATATATTCTATAGATTGTTTTATTTACTTAAATTAACATATTTATACAATTATGTTATTAGCTAGAATAAACAATATACTAAAATGGATGTTTTTGCTTTTGTATCAATATTTTTTTAAAGAAAACATTTTTAATAAAATAATTTTATAAAATATTTAGTATTCATATCCTGTAATAAATGTGTTTAAGTGTGTGTGTAAAATATAGAGAACAAAAAATTTGTTTTCAAAGTTCTCTCTAGAATTTAAATTCACTGTACAATATTGTTTTCTAATTAAGCATTGTTAAAGATTTGTGATATGATTAAATTTTTGTATATACTCCAAAATATATATTTCATATAAATGATTATATACAGTATTTTATATCATATTCTGATTAATAATTCACAATCTGATACAAATTGTTAGATTTAAAAAAAATTCACTTCTTTCAAAGTTTTAATCTGTTATTTCTGACAGATAAGCTGTAGAAATGTTAAATAATGACAAGTTCTAGGAAGAGAAAGAAAAAAAATTATTTTTTCAGTAAGATCTAATTTTTGAAATATGGATATAATTGTTTCTTTATAATCTTTATGTTCACTTTTTCCTCTTCCATACTTTTTTACAAATTCTAACCAATATTATTTTATTAAATCTAAATTATTTTTTCTTCCTGATTATCATGTGTATAACTAGCCAGCCTGTTTATTCCATTTTTTCCTTATCATTAAAGCTATATAAATTAATAAAAGCTTATTATATCTTATTCTATACTCATATTTTCTAGAACAAAAAATTTGAAAAAAATAAGTAATTTAAAAAATATTTTACATAATAAATAGTTAAACTTCTGTAAAGAAACCTGTTTAATGTGATTCTAATTTTAATAGATTTTTTAAGTACTCATGAGGGATATAATAAATATGTACATACTAAAAGAAATAATAAAAGCACTTGTTTATTCAAACTTTGAAATTGTTATTACTATCGGCACTATATATTAAAAAATCTTAAAAATTTATGAAATAATACATAAATATGACTTTTTTGTTTAAAAACATTATAAATTTATAATATCAATATTAAAATTTTAAAATGTTTTCAAATTTTACTTACCCTTTATCTTTAGCATGAACATCAGCACCATGCTGTAAAAGATGTTCAACAACAGCAACTCTATTATAACCAGCAGCAAAATGTAATGCAGTAGATTGTCTTCCATCCACATCACGACAGTTCACAACATGAGGATGATCATGTAAAATCCTCTAAAATATTTTTCAATTATTTTTTATTTAACTTGAAGATAAATACTACACTTTTAAGAATAAGATAATCAATAAAATTAAGTACTATAATTTCATAATTGTTATAATTTCAAAATTGGAGAGAGAAATACTTTACTTCTCATAAAAAAAAAAAAAAAAAAATAATAATTATAGTGCATAAATTATTAACTAGATCTTAAATATAAATATCACATATAACAACATTATTTAATATATTACAAAATATAGTGATTTATTATGATCCAAGCAATTTTAGTTAATAAATGCTTCAAAAATAAAATAATATATAGGGTGGTTATAATTAAACAGATGGTGCTTAGAGCTCTGTATAGAAAAAACTATTAGACCAAATTCAACTAAATTTGATGTGCATACTTTCCTGACTATGAGATTTCAGTTTTGAAAATAAAAAGTTGTTTCAAAATTTCCTGATGGAAGAAATTTGATGCTAATGTCACTGCATATTATGTAAGTGGTGGAAAAACTTTAAAAGTTTATAAAAGGTTGCAAAGCAAGTTCAATGTGGATTAGTGACAAGTCATGATACATTCATTACCTGATTGCATATTACTTGTTTAAACTTTGTTATAAAAGACATAGCAATTCTAGTGATGCATTCAAGAAATTCCAATATTTAAAGTCCTTACAAAAAGATCCTCTGACTTTTACTTATCTCTGAAAAATGATTTTGCATTACAAAGAAACAGAAACTTTCAGTGTGAAACAAGGAGAGACTGGTGGAACTGGTGAAAACAGAGGAAGTTGCAACTCCCTTAATAAAGTAGTGAATGGAGAATTCTCAAAAGAGCTGAAGTGTATGTGTAATATCACAACAATTAGACATGTTCTATCCTATAGTGCAGAAAATTCTACAGCAAATATTGCAGTTATACCCTTACAAAATATCTAAAAATCATAAATTGCTACCTGGTGAGTATAATTAGTGAAAATTATTTGCCATGTCATAATAATATATACTAAAGCCAACCACTGCCTTATGCCATTGGACTATATAACAGCTATAATATTAATAAATTACCAAACAATTTGACACTAAACTTTTCTTCCAGTTTAATCTAAATTAATTTAATTAAAAATTATTATTATTAAATTTATTATGAGATGGCATACGGCAGTGGTTGGCTTTAGTAATATAATGTATCAAGTTTTTGTAGCTTGTTTGTATAATAATATATCAAATGCATACTTTAGAAAATGCTATAAAGTAAATCATATATGATTACAAACATTAAAATATCTATTTCGGAATCTATGGAGTCATAAAGCCCATTTTTATTTATATGATATGGTAAACACAACTACCATGTTTGTTTTGGAGAAAATCCCACACATTTATCAACAAATTCCCTTTCATCAACCAACAATCACAGTATGACACAAGTTCACAGCATCTGTCATTACTGAACAATATTTTTTGAAGAAAATATGACATATGGGCAAATGACATGTTCTGTCAATGCCACTAAGTATGGAGACATGCTTCAATAATGAAGTTGTTTAGATACCATCATCTTTATGCAAGATGAACCACTTGTCATTTTGGTATCAACATTCAAAGGTTATTGCAGCAACACTTCACAAATGAAAGAATTATAAGCCAATTCAAACAACTTAAACATCATAATCACAAGATTGGTGATTTTTAGTTATGGAAATACTTGAAGAGAATTCTTTATAAAGGCAATGTTCTTAACTAAGTTGTCTTAAAAGGCATAATTTTGCTATATCTAAAACAATTGCACTTAAGTCAGTTTTGTTCCACTGTCAAGTGAATTGTTCATCAAATGCTTTAGAATAGAAAGATAAGGGTATAGTACATACAATGTTAGTCTGATTTATTGGTTGCTTGAACATTTCTGTGTGTGCAATTTGACGTGTAAAATTACTATATGTGACATAACCTAGGGAGAGTCACAACTCATGGAATCTGTAATCACTATATTGCAATAAAATGCTTGCACTTTGTATCTCAATGTCTCTGTTTTGCCTGGATTTCTTTGATAACCTATATAGCAGTGCCAAATTTCCCCTATTGGAAATTTTGGAACTAAACTTGCAAAATTGAAATCCTACAATCAGGAAATTTATGAGCCCCAAATGTGGTTGAATTTGATCCAATAGATCTTTCTACACAAAGCTCTAAACACTTCCTGTTTAATTAACTTACCCTGTATTTAAAGTATCTGATTTCTATGTGAAAAAATCTATTATTAGAAACAAATAGTCATTAAAATAAAATTATTTTTGAACAAATTTTTTAAATTAGCCATTTCAGAAATTCTAAAAACCTATAAAACAATATCTTAGAGATTCTAAATTCAAATATAATTTAATTCCAATATATTCAAATTTTTCTATTATTCCTACTAATATTTTCATTTAATATAATTTAATTAACATGATTTAATTTGATAAAAAATAGAATATATTAAGAAAATTCTACATTAAATATAGTTAATTTATGAACTGCNATTTATAATAAAATAAAAATTTAAATAAAAATTAATATATTTATACAGACCTTTACAACCTCCACATCTCCAGCTTTAGAAGATTCTAATAATTGATATTCAATATCAACTCCAGCTGAAGGTGGATCTATATATAAAATACAATAGTCAAATGAAATCATTTAAATATAAATTATATTTAAGTAATTTGTTAGCCTATTATTAACTATTATTCATCCTATATTGTTAAATAATCTATTATAAATACTATTTATTTTACATAATCTGAATTAATAACTTTTAATAACATAACAACAGTAATAAAGATAAAAATAAAGTAATATTAAAAATTATAAAATAAATCATATATGAATATAAAAAATTAAAATACCTATTTAAAATCTATTCTAACAACATTGAGAAAAAAGTATTCACATACAAAACATTATTAAGCAAGTACTTAGATAAAATATCAACCAGCTAAAACATCATCAAATGCCCAAAAATAAAAGCTTATAATGCCAAAGTATCACTATCCAAATGCCAAAGAATACTATCATTAACCACATCATTAACTATTTTGCAAAACTTACAAATTACAAACTACTTAAAAAACAAATTATTGAAAGTGAAAAATACAGAAACATAATTTTCTTAGTTGAATCATATGACAAGGCCAGATTTACAAGATATGTAAGCTGTAGCTTAGGACCTCGAGTTTCAAGAAACCTCAAAAATTTCTACAAAAAAGAAAATTGAAGTCAAATTTTGTAATAAAATTTTTTTACAAACCAACAAAATATACTTTACTTTTTATTTTGAGTAGTATTTAATTATATTAATAACCAATATTGTTTATATTACATTTCTAGTATATTCTACCTTCTAATATAAAATTCATCTGATTTTATAGGTAGCTTTTCTTAGCTTTTAGTAGCTTATTTTTGCAATAAAAAAATTTCAAAAATAAAATTTTAATGTTTTCCTTTTTAAATTGTACCTTATTTTAAATATTGATAATACTTTTTAACAATAAAACATTTATCATTAAAATTTATGTTTATGTTAATTCTCTTCTTTTTATAATTGACTTCTAAAATTGTAAAGGGTTGCTAAGGCCTCAAAATGCCTAAATCCAGCCCTGCATACAGGATAAAGTGACATACAAACATCTTATGAATATGTATTTTTACCTTTATGCAGAAAATAAAATAACTTATGATTTTAAATTTTTATTTAAAAAATGAATTAAGTCAATCATTCAGAATAAATGATTAATTTTTAAATGAATAAATGATAAATTTTGAATTATCAAGTTAAATAAAAAGAATAAATTTGAAATATTCTTATACACAAATATACTGCTTAATTTATTGAAATTCTGCAAAAATTAAAGTTAAATACAAATATTATATAAATGTTTAATGTAAAATCAAGGCTGTGGAGTCGGAGTCGTGGAGTTTTGATGTTTTAGCCGGAGTCGGAGTCGGAGTTGTCAAAAAATCTGCCGACTCCGACTCCTTTTTACTTACCAACTTGTTATGTATACAAAACGGAAAAGTATTGGAATCGTGTCAAATTTCACCCTCCAAGTTTTTTTTGCAAATCCACATGTTTGGAGAACTCCCGAACCCCTCAAAAAAGTAAATAAAGGGGAAAAATTTGCGCGCGCGTGTGTTGGCGTCTAATTTGTTTAATTTCTTTATTTTCTGTTCTGAGATATTAAACAATATCTCAGAACAGGTAAAGTTTAAGAAACAAAATGTGGCACTGTAGCTTGCGTATAAAGGGGCATTAATACTATTAAATGTTGGTTCTTAATTAAAGGTCGAGAGGGTGAAGACATAAAAGTGGTCATGTGTCATGTCTCTTAATGAATATTTTACTCGTTATTAGCGTTCAAAATTTAATAAAATAAAATAAAACTCGTTTTTACCCTCAAAGTAAGCTTTTTTGCCGTTTTATAATAGTACAGTAAAACCCGTTAAGATGTTCTCGCTTAAGATGTTAGAATGTATATGGGGACACGATTTAGTTCAACCACTTTGACTTAAATAACTAACTCCTGTGTTAAACCATCGGACTCGTATTCTGACCACTCTGACCACAGAAATTATTAGTCTTCAAACAGGGTGAACGAAATCATGCCCCCCCCACACAGTCTAACATCCACACATATAGAAAAAACCTCGAATCTTTTGCATATCTCGAAATTTCAAGGTGTCCCGAGTCCAAAAATGTAAAAATTTGGGAGGGGTCATTTTTTGACCGAGCGCTACACTTTTCCTCTGTTATATAGGCCTATAACAGCCGGAAAAGTAAAAACTATCGAATAAATATTTATATATTACTTAGAGAAGTCTTTTAGCTTTGGAATAAAAAGTTTCTACGCTCTATCTTTATTACAACTCTATTTATTGAATATTTTATTCTGAGGTCACGTGATGACATCAGAATTTCTGGGTCTCTTTCGGTAACAAGTCTGCCCCTAGTCGGAGTCGGAGTCGGAGTCGGTAGATTTTTACGCGACTCCACAGCCCTGTGTAAAATAATAATGCATAATAATAATTACCATTAAGAATTTTCTGAACACTTTCATTAGCAACCTGGGCTGCAGTATATCCTTGTAAACTAACAATAGTAGGGTCCACTCCATAAGACAGCATGATCCTACATGCTTGTATATTGCCCTCTCTTGCACATCTATGCAATGAGGTCTGTCCTAATCCATCAAGACCATTTACCTGAAAATATTAGACATGTACTAATTATTACAATAAATAGTAATGAAATCATTTAGTTTCAAAGTATTTTGAAATTACTTTTATCACTTTAAATAAAATTAAATGTCAAGTATTTTATGCATTTCATTATAACTTTTTATTGATTATAACTTCTACAAGGTATGATATTTAAGAAAAAAAATTGAAATTATATCTTTTTAACTTTGCAAATTTACAACACTTTGAAATTGTATGAGTGAGAGTTCTAGTTTTAAAAATAAAACTGTTGAGAAAAGTGTTTACTATAAACTATTTTTCTGAAATAAGAATGCTTTGTATAGAAACAATCTCTCACTATACTATGAAGATGTATAACAAGATGAAGAGTTTTATTTCAAATTAAAAACTGAGCATTAAGTAATAATATTTTTTTTATTCAAACATTATATAAATATGTAAGATGTAATGTGAAGTTAACAATCTAATTAAATTAATTGTTTACACAAATCTATCATTCTGTATATTATTATTATTTTCATTCCCACTGAGAAGAAAGAGCATATTAACAGTGCATAGCATATTGTATTTATGCATTTATTTTTCCTTTTTACATATTTTTTACTTTAGATTTACAGAACAAAATGTGGTTTTCATACAATCTTTCCTTTATATACTTTTATATATTTAGGTAAACATTTCATATAAATTTCCTTCACCATATAAATTTTAAAACTTTGAGCTAGATCTCTATCATAATTGCTTAAAACTCATTTCACCTCAAAATAAGACGTTTCAAACTGATTTTGTATTTAAAAAGTAGTTTAAAAATTTTTACTTTGAATGAAAGCAAATAATAATTACTTTTCATCACATTTTACAGGTGACTTGTTATTACTACAGTAAAACTATTCAAATGGGCATAAATTTTGACCAATTTCTTTTCAAAATGAATGCTCAACAACAACAAACAGCATAGAAGACAAACCTTTCTGATTTTTTTATGTTGCTATAGCAACCATTTTAGTTAATCATTGTATGAACATAAGGTCCTTGCATCCCTAATACCATGTCAAAAATTTAATTTTTTTTCTATATAAAATGCATAATCTATATACTTATGAATCAGCTAATTTTTATCAGATTTAAATATTTTTTAAACTTCTTAAGAATGATACAATATGTATCTGTGGAAGCTAATTAATATGTAAATTAAAGTGTATTATAAGTTTATTAATTTAAATCACTTGACTTCTTTTGTATTTTTTATATTTAAAAATTTAATCTTACTCTCTAAATTTATGAATTTCATCTTATATCTTATCAATTCAACTCTCATGTCAATTAATTATAATCAAGAATATTTATTTCATGCAATTTTAACTAGTTGATAACTAATATTAATAAAGTAAATTTAATAACTCTGTAAACTATTTCTCATTTTGATTAGTTCTATATTCATTTATGCTTGAAAAATGGTACACTAAAACTGAAACAATTATACACTTTTAGAAAATAAAATAAAAATCTTTTTACCTTGGCACCATGCTTTAATAATAAATCCATGACATCAAAATGTGATTTATCTGCAGCTATGTGAAGTGGAGTCAAAAATCTAAAACAAAAATACATTAATCAATTTATTATTATACAGATTACTTTTATAAATATTTATGTTTTCTTATTAATAATAATAATATACAGAATAATACCAAAATATAATTTTTATAGCTCAAAAAATTGATTTTGAATATATCAACTAATAAAACTGTTTAAAATAATTTACTTTAATCTATATTAATATATAAAGTGAGAATGTTTTGTTTGTTTGTTTGCTGGAGGTAATCTTGAAATCTACTAAACTGATTTATTTTAAACTGATTATGCCATTAGAAAGTTTATTCCTTCCAGATGACCACAGAATATTTAGTATTTTCATATTAAAAAAGGAAAATGTATGAGAAAGATGTTTTTACTGCAGCATTTGTCTCACATCATCATCATAATCATATTATCCTTTATCTGCTCTGTTCAAGATCAATTTCTTCCTCCACCTGGTGAGCTTTCTTAAACTTATCTATTCAGTTTTAGGTATCCTATGGGAAACATGAACTATCATAAAGCTCAGACCCCTCACTCCTCTCTGATTCTGTCATTACATTCTATAATCCTCCAAAAAATATATGCTACTTTAAAACTTGGACTCTCACCCCTTCCATGATTTCATCCCCACAAACTTCCAAAGCCTTTGACTGACTTGGACCAAATTTTGTGTAGTTACTCTCTGTTGCCCTAAGGGAAACATACACTACCTTATAACAAGAGCAAATCAACCCTCTCCCTAAGTTCCCTGGCAATGTTGGACATTCTTTGTGACTTTTATAATAAAAACAAAAGTTTTTAATATGAAATGAGTTTCAAAATGAGTTTTTTTGTGGTGTGGAAAGAATATATGATCACATAGTATGATTATCATCTGTCAATTAATAATTGTTCAGTACATTTTAATTAAAAAATAAACATAATAAATACATACTCTTTATTCTTTTCATTCAGATTAGCTCCTTTCCTAATTAATGCTTCAGTTACTTGTTTTCTTTTTGGATAAGGTGAACTTATTCCACAATGCTATATAAATATTAAATGAATAAAAATATTTTACTAAAAATATTAAAACAAAATAATATATCATGTTATAACTATAGAAATATTAATTTATAGAAAAATGAAACATTAACAAAAATTATTAATTACAATATGATATTTCAGTCAAGCATACTTTATTTTAAAAATAAGAAATTAAAATTATGAATATTATTACATTAGTATTAAAAAATACATGCTCTCTGCTATAAATCTGCTAAACATAGAAACAAATTCATAACAACATAATACAATAAAATAAAATCTACAAGAATTATTCAAAAATATTCAGAATAAGTAAAAATTTAAGTTAATGAATTTAAGATAAAAATTTATTTTTTCTATACTTCTAAAAGTGCAGATTTTCAGATTTATTATTATACTTTGTATAATTTTTCAATAAATCATAAATACTTCTATGTTGATTAAGAATAAATAACTTACTAAAGCAGTATCACCAGTGAAAGGATGTTTGAAATTAACTGTTTCTACAGTGAGGTATTTTTTTACTCTGGCTGGATCAGCTTGACGTGATGCTTCTAATAGACAATGACCTTTAAATTCATCTGTAATAATTGTTTTTATTGTAAAAAAGATTTTTATCATTAAATAATGACCTTTAAAAATATCCAAATTATTAATTTCAATATATAAAGCTTACATGATAATCTATCCTGCAATTCTCTTGTAGGTGCAACATCAATTGCACTTTTGGAATGACAATTCAATAGAGTAGGATCAGCACCATGACTAAGCAATAATGAACATACTTCTACTCTAGATTTTGAAGCTGCTTCATGTAATGGTGTAAATTGCCAAAGATCCATTGCATTCACATTTGCTCCATGCTAAAAACAAACAGTATATCAATTATATAAATATATAATTGAGAAAAATCTGTGTAAATAACTTATGTATTTCAAAATATTTAATAGTAAAGTAATTAATAAATTCAATTATAAATATTCATCTTCAAAAATAAACAAGAAGAAAGAAATGTACAGTGAAATCACAATATTCTAGCATTATTCAAAATCAAACAATACTTAAATTTGTGCTTATTTGATCAATTTTTCAGCATAATTCTATTGCTTTTTTAACTTGTCTCATTTTGAAAACTATGAATCACTTTTGGTTTCTTACTTCTATGAAATGTAACCATACCATAGTTATTTATGCATGTCTGCATAAATAACTATGGTATGGTATAAAATTTAGAACCTTCTTTTATTCCAGAAGGTTCTAAATTTATTTAATAATTTATTTATTTATTTATAATTATTAATTTACTTAAGAGATGGCACCTAACGCCTACCTCTATTGTCAAATTACTTTATACTAATAATTTAATTAGCCATATTATAGCCCGATATTAAGGCGATCGTTTGGTGGTTTATTCTATAATTCTCGGGCTTTGTGTTGTTGTTATTTATAGACATGCACACATTTTATTATATCTGATTTTAGAAAGTAACAATTATTATTTTAGAACAATACATCAATAACATTTATTTGTGAATTATAAACTTTTAAGGGAATTATTATTTTATTATTTCAAAATAAAAATATATATACGGGTATACCTCGCCTTACGTCGGTAATTGGTTCCAGGAGAACGACTTAAGTCGAAAAACGACGTAAGTCGAATTTACTTGTCTCCAAATCTAATTGTCACTAGGCTAAACCATATATTGCCAATTCTGGTTCTGTATTTTATTTATTAATGCATTTTTAATAATATCAATATATAGTTAATAAGGATCTATTTTAAGCTTACAAACAAATAAATTTTAGTTTTTAATATAGTACAGAAAAAAGTAATCTAAATTTACGAATGCATGTACTGTAAATNTTCTCCATTACTGATAGTTATAGAAAATAGTTTCTAAATTTAAATTAAAAATAAAATCAATTAGTAATAAACAATATAGCCAGGATTAATAAATAAAAGATGTAAATTATCAACTTTTCTTCTTTTTCAAATATTTTACATAAAAATTTTAAGCAAAAAACATTATTAAAGATTTTTCCATTAAAGGGTGAGGTAATAATGATGAATATGTGAGAACCAGGGCTAGCATTTTGGCAATTTAGGCAATTTTAATTATTTAATATTTGTTCAAAGAGAAAAAATTATTTAAGCCTGAGATGACAAATATAACAGAGAAATTATCAACTTTTCTTCTTTTTCAAATATTTTACATAAAAATTTTAAGCAAAAAACATTATTAAAGATTTTTCCATTAAAGGGTGAGGTAATAATGATGAATATGTGAGAACCAGGGCTAGCATTTTGGCAATTTAGGCAATTTTAATTATTTAATATTTGTTCAAAGAGAAAAAATTATTTAAGCCTGAGATGACAAATATAACAGAGAAAAGTCGTAAGATTTTCTCTTTGATAATATTTCCTTTGTAAATGACACATCTAGCAAAAAAAACCACTCATTGAAGAAAATTTTGCCAAAAATCGGAGATTGGACTAGCACCCTGCTGCCTTGCATAAGTTCACCAAATTTGGACATAAGAATGGAGGGGACAAGACCCCAAATAAAAGGAGAGGTAAGAGAAGGTCATACAGGGAGACATGAAGAGAAAGTCCATCTGTTTTGTCTTCCCATTTTGACTATCCATCACTGAACTCTGCCACTGGTTCTTCTCGGTTGCCCACCTTACTTACCAGATCTTTGCCAATCTGTACTAGAGGACATTGAATTTTGGGAACTATTTGCCATCAACTCCTACAACAAGACTGTTCAAGTACCAAGGAAAAAGCAGACCATCTACGATTGTACCCAATTCTATGGATATCTCCACCCGGAACAAGGAACTCAAACCCAATGACAAAATAGAGACTCTCCTCTCAAAGACTCATCCAGCTGAAGATCACCAGAAATCATAGTGATTTATTACTATACACTTAATGGTAAATGCTCTCTCTCAAGGATAGGCACATAAAGTAGCTTTAAACTCACTCCATTTGTTTTATTTGTATTTAGGATAAGATTTAGTGAAATAAATGTTTGTTGTTTAATTATTAACCAGTCTTCCATCTCTTACCCATCAGTCCCTCATATGCAACCACTCAGACATTTATCAAAAGCCTCCTATGAGCCAGAAGTCACAGATGGTGTCAGGCCTGACCCATCTGTGAGCCTTGCTGACCTTTCATAAATACATCCTTAAACGTATTTTTAAATAACATGAATAAACTGATTTGATTGATTGATTAAGGTTCATATTACTCTGTTATGTAATTATATCTATTTAAATTAAGTAGTTTAATTATAATTTATTAGAAATCTTATATTAGTTTGAATTAACCAGTCTGAATAGGATATTCCAAAATAACCTTATACCAAGGGTGATAATGAAATTGTTGTAAACTTTTCCCACCAATGCATAATGTATAAGTTACAACATTAACATTCAATAGAATAATTTCCTGTTCGTATTCTATACTTTCCAACCTAAATATTCAAATGAATTCATAATGAGAATTACTTATGTTTTCAAAATGTTTTTATACTTCATATTTAAGATTATTGAACCATGTGAAGAATAAAAGTGTTGTGAAAACACATAAAAATAAATGTTAAATACATGATTCTAGCATTTACATCATACTCATACATTTAACAATTTGCATGCATTTTCCATAATTTTAAATCTTATATCTGTTATATAAATTTGTCATTTAATTAATAATCATAGTCTATACTTTTATAATCTAAATATAAAATTCAATTTAAATTATTTGAATTACGGCTACATTTATTAACAATTTTTCAGATCAAAAAAACATTTTGAAATTTCAAGCTTGCAACTCTAAATTACAAACTTCTTTCATTTTTCACATTCACTAATCCAATGTAGCAATTATTGTTTCTCAAACGGAATTCCGGGATCCCGGTTGTTTTTTTAACCCGGGAAATATCCCAGGAAATCCCGCAAATTTCTTAAAAATTCACTTTTTTTATTATTTTGTGTTAAGGTTAAGAAATTTTGCAAATAGAAAGCATAATTATCTCATTCACTGTCAGAATACATTTGTATTTATTAATTTTAAACCTACCTATTAGCTTTTTTAAAATTTTTGCTCGTTATGGCATGTCACAAATGGTCGATAATCAATACGTAGCTTATTTGTGGCAGGACTCTGAAAATTCTTTACTTGTCAGAACCCGTAATATATGGAATTGTGCTTACACTGTCTTAATTTTTAACCATGCCCAGTAGCTTCAATAAATGAATAACGCCAGATTGTGCAAATTGGGCAAAGATACAAACGAGTATAAAGTCTGCAAGTGTGAAGTTTTTCTTCATAAACCTGATTTAGCCAAATGAATTTCCGAATTATTGAGCTATAAGCTCGATGCCGCTATTAAAGCAGCCGAGGTAGACAAATTAAAAATACTAGAGAGCAAAAGAAGTACTACAATCTCGAAAACAAACTCGAAATCTTCCAGGCTACAGGTGAACAAACACATAATATCTGTCTTCTCTTAAATGCATTAAACACGATTCCAATCACATCAATTGAATCGGAAAGGGCATTCTCGGTAGCAAGACTTTTCATTACTAAAATAAGAATTAGAGTGAGTGATCGGAGTATTGATCATCTTTGCTTTTTAAAATCTTATAAAAGTTTACAATATTTTGTATTATATTTTATTTAAAAAACGAAAATTACCTTCTAAGCTATAAGTTTGATCTATAAGTTCAATTTTTAATTTTTAACTCAGTTCAAAGCATTTTTGTTGTTGTTGTTGTTGTATGCAGTTTCTAGCAAACTTTAATAAAATTTTTTTTTTATTTGTGAAAACTTCTACATAATTCAAAGGTAATTTTTATTATATATCTTACACAGCATTATTAATATGATTTTGGATGATACAAAACTTTAAATTACTTTAAAAAATGAAAAATAATTATATCATTTAATTTCAAGTATACGTTAAAAATAATTGATTCTATCCTGGGAAACAGTTCACTTTTATCCCGGAATCCCGGGACAAGCAAAAGACCGGGAAATGAGAAACCCTAGTAGCAATCATCTTTAATTACTCTATTAATTTTATGACATTGTTAAATTTTAACAATTCAGCTATTGCATAAAACATAATTAATTTATGTTTATAGCAAATAAAGATTATTAGTTAACAAACTTTTTGATCATCTTGTAATTGCTAAAAGATCATTTCTCCTCTAGATTAAAATATTAAAAAATTAAAGTTTTAGCCAAATAAAGTTTACATTAGTTACTATTTTAAAATTCTTACTTACCTTAATTAGCATCTCAGTCACTTCAAAATGACCATAGGAACAAGCATTATGTAAAGGAACCAAACCTCTGAAATATAATAAAATATAAGAACACTAAACATCACAATATATTATATTCTTAATGTAATATACTGATATAATATATACTAATAAAATTAAATTTACTGATTTTATGAAAAATCAACAGTATAGTATATTTTTATTTAATTTTTAAGTATTTATTTTTGTCTCTTTTTGATAATTCACAGTCATTTGTTTTATTTCTTTTAATACAAACAAAAAGCAATTTTTAATAATTCTAAGATATTGATCAATGGCTCCTAAATATCAGATGATATTTCATATACTCATTAAAAATCTGAATTCTATGATTTATTTAAAAAAAAGACATATTTTGAATTGTGAATATAACTAGAGATTGATTTGGTTTCAGTGATGGGCAGAGCTGAATAAAACTACGTTTTCAGTTCAGTTTTATTTTCACTTAGCAGAATCTTTTATGCTCAATGATTACTTTTTCTAGAAGTGACAAACTACGAAATAAGAAATTAAAATATTTTATTGATGTGGGGCTTAAACAAAATTTATACAAAACTTTGGAAATATCTCTGTCAATAGTCAAACATCTATGCAAATTTGGCTATATTAAAATAATTAAATTAAATACTGATTTTTCATTAATTTATTTGCATTAAATTGAAGCTTCAAAAAACTAAATTAAAAAGTATATGAACTGATTAAATCAGGAGAAAAAGTTTGTAAACTCTCTTGAAATTCTAAAAAACATACTAAAATTATTAGTTGTAATAATTATTTTCAAGTACTTTCAAGTTTGAATTTATAAAATTCAAGTATAAGTTCAGTATGTCTGCATTTACTAAGATATTGAAATGTTCTTTGCATCAAAAAATAAGAAAAGTTTTAAATTTATAAATGATCAAACTAAGCATTTACCCTTTATCTTTGGCATGAACGTCTGCTCCATGTTCCAATAATAACTGAACAATCCTAATACGATTATATCCAGCCGCCAAATGGAGAGGAGTTGACTAAAACAATAAATATATCAATTAATTTATCTTTTTTTACTTTTTAAATCAATATATTATAAAAACAAAACAGCTTATAATGAAAATTATAAATCATTTGAGACTAATTTAAGTTGCATTATCTTCCCAGACAAATAAAATAATGTAAAATTATCAAATTAAATATGTTTAAATCTAAGCAATGTACTTCTTAGAATGTACAGTAGATCCCCCTATAAAACCGTTTCCTATAGTTATGATTCCTATAAAAATTGTGGCAGTACAGTAGATCCCCCTATAAAACCGTTTCCTATAGTTATGATTCCTATAAAAATTGTGGCAGTATCCGTAAACAACGGTAAAAATAACTCCTATAATACGTAAAACGTCATCGGGCAGCCAAACTACTTTCCCGCCGTCCGTAGCGCCACGCTACGGAGAGATTTCTATCGTCTGGACAGTATTATATAAATTATATATAAATTAGGTACTGTACATATAATTATATATTAATTATATATAAATTAGGTACTGTATATATAATTATATATTAACTTAATTTATTGTAACTTTATTATAATTAAATATATATTTTTCGCCGTCTAGCGTCACGCTACGGCGAGTTAGGCGACCTATCGTCTGTTTAGTACTGTAATTTTATACATTTCTTGTGAAAGAAACATTTCTTATTTAACGGCCATAAAAATTATTTATATTAATGATGTCTCCAAAGGTCAACGAAGTTTTCGCAGAAAAATAATATCAGAAATCGCGGCCGCAATTTGATGCGCTGTTCCGCGACGAAACCAAGCTTTAGCAACGAGCGTAGTCAAAGGGTACACACTCGGTAAGTAATCCTACAATTTTTTGTTTATAACGTAGTTTATACGGATTATTTTAAAAAAAATATACGTATTTTGGAAATGTTGAGTCGAATTAGTCTAGAATCGATTAATTTTATGAAAGAAAACCTTTCAAACAGCCGTAGTTCGTAAACTATGATTCCTACAAAATTGATTCATAAAGAACGGAACGTATCTACCGTCTTATAGGGGGATCTACTGTATTTTGCTTCAAAGTCTGTAAGAAAAACTGCTCAAATTTTAAGATTTCCACTTAGCAAATAATATTTTCTAACATTTAAAAATTTGAATGAAAGATTTAATAACTCATTCTTTTTAGACTAGACTGAAATGTTCCTACAGTGTTCAAACAAATTTCAAATAATCTAACATTGAAATTAAAGAAGCATTGAAAACATTTACTGCCATTATTTACTTCTTAACTAATTTTTGTACTTGTTTTGATTTTTAGCTATTAGTCAACTTTAAACAATTGCTCAAAAGGTTTTTAGGAAATTTTATTTATTATAATATAAACATTCATCTTTCAATTTAATTAAATTATCATCAATTGACAAAATTTCTGAATATAGTCATTACTGTATAAAAGATTTTCTCATAGTGAATAAGAAATTAGTTTGAAGATAATATTTCATAATTTCTAATTTTTAAAATGTAATTGTTCAAAATTTAATAAATCTAATAAAGCAAGATAATCAAAAACCTTCATACCTTCCTTCCATCACTAGCATGACAATTTACATTTAGAGGAGTAAATAAAGCCATTAATTTTTCTTCATTTCCACTCCTTGCAGCTTCTAAAAGTTCATCTTTATGATATTCCCCAGTTAAAACTGCTCTAGCAGAAGGATCAGCCAAATCTATTGGTGTTTTCCCATCAGTGTTTCTGATAGTAGGATCTGCATTATGTTGCAATAACACTAAAAATAGTAAATAAGTAAAAAAAAAGTTTTCAAAATTTTATATGTAAAATTATATAATAAGTAATGAATCAAAACTATGTCTTCAAAATTAAATTTTTTAAATATTTATTTAATTCAATGTTAGTATATTACTATGCAGCATCGTTTCATTTTAGTAAATTCAACTTATCTGGCACACTATTTTAAATTGTTTAGTAATTTTCTTTTATAAAATTTTATATACAGAAATAAGAAATACAGTAAATAAAATCTGAAGAGTTTTTTTTCCTTTAAAATTAAAATCTGCATCAAATATTCAATATCAATACAATTCTTTTTTAAGAGAGAAATTTTTAAAAAATTTTCCACCAGAATAATGCAGTATATGTTTTTATAATAAAACAGCTTTACAAATTTTACACTGCAAAAACTTTAAAAGATTAACATTTCCAAGACCTCTTTGGGCCAATTACAGAAAGGAAGAATGACTAGCCTGAATCTAAGACAAAAATTACAATCTCATTGATACATAGCTTAAATTATTTTTCACAAACAAGCAGTAACCACAGCTTAATAGACTATATTACATTTAAAGTTGTTGCTCCATGATACTTTGAAATTTTTAAACAATTGGCATTTTTGTGATGATGTCAGAGAAAATGGCAGAAAATATGAATGTACTTGTAGTATAGTTAGTAAAAAACTATTTCCTCTTCTGAAAAATTTTAATAGACTTAATTAACGCTCACTCAATAACAGAAGAAAAATAAAATAAAATAAAATAAAAAAACAAAATAAATTCAATAATTAGGAAAAGTCATCAACATATCTTCAGTACAAAGTGATGTTGTGTTTAAAAGCAAAAAGGATTTCAATTTCAAGATGTCAGATACAATTTCACATAGTGTCCAACAGGAGTTTCCTGTGAGAATACCTCTGCCTTAAAAATAAATGGTACCTTCAAATTGGAAAAAGGACAAATTATAAGCTTCCTTATGATGTTTGCTTGCATCTCTTATATGTATAAATACAAAGCCTTGAAACATACAGAAGCAAGACTCAATCTTGATAGAACACAGATATTGAAGTCACAAATTGTTGTACAAACGTGGTTCCAATTGTGTTATGTAAGAGCTCTACATGCTTATAGAGCTAGAAAAGCTCTTATAATGAAAGCCAAAGTTTCCAAAAGTTTTAAAGGAAATTTTTGATCTCCCTAAACTAGTCAATTTCTAAGCAGCAATTGCATAATTAGTTATTGCTGTTTCTCCCCAAAATGCATTTGATTTTATGTGGCAATCTTTACTTTTTTAAAGAAATACAAAATGCTTAGCAGTAAATCAAAATATAATAAAACATTTCAAGTTCCAAACTAAAGCAATTACTAAATACTTATGTTTGTTTTCTCAGAATACAGAGAAAAAAATCAATTTACACTTGTAAATAGAACATTGTCTTAAAAATTAGATATCCAAATGTTTTTGGTTTTTCTTAGCTCATCTTAAAATATTAAATTATAAGTAATGATCTAATCTTAAGGAACAAAAGATATTTGTTAATTTTAGAATGTTTAAAGATTTTGAATGTTGTATCTAAAGTGTATAACTCTAATAATGACTTCAAAAATGTTTGAATATAAAATTAAAAAAATAAAATTTTTTATAGTCTAGAAAATAAAGAAATTTAAGAAACATTAGAACCTAACATTTTGCAAAATTCTAGTTACCCATATTAAATTTGTTTTAATATAAGTTGTTTTTTGCATTTCTAGTAAATCCATAGTAATATTGCAAGCATACAACAAAATCTGATGCAAATTTTCTCAAAATTTAAAGTTCTCAAACAGATAAATTTAATTGCATTTAATTGCTGATTATGTAGTAATAACACAGCAAATTAAACAGTAAAGTGTTTTTTGTGCAAGTATAAACACATTTTCTTGTCATCTAATCATATTATATTTAAATTTAAAAACAATACATTAAGAAAATTAGATCCAGTCAATGAACTTTTAAATCATACTTTATATAATCAATAAAATTAATTTTTATTGTGTTTTTCCATATAAAAAGTTACATACCTATACAAACATCTGTTTTTCCTTTTATAGCTGCTTCATGTAAAGGTGTATAATTCCAATTATCTCTAGCATTGGGATCTGCACCATGTTTCAGTAACAACTGAACTACTTCAGCATGGCCAAATGAACAGGCATTATGCAGGGGAATCAAACCACCATCGTCTCTTGCATGAACATTAGCTCCATTCTGTAACAAATGTTCTACAACGTCTCTACGACCAAAACCTGTAATAATATTTTGAAATGCTTAAGTAACAAAATTAAAACCATTATGAACAAAAGTTATTTTACATATATTTAATATGACAAACTTAACAAACAAAACAAATGACAAACTTGTCAAATATGCTTTAATTGCCACTGTCTATCCGAGGATAATAAATACAAACTGGAGATGATAAAATGCCTTTATTTAAAATTATTTTCTTTATAAATTATCAAAATGCATTTCGGCTTCATTTACTTTAAGCCCTCTTCAGTAAAAAGTTTATAGTAATTGCCATTATGAATTATTTCAGTAATTTAAAATGATATAACAAAAGCAATTATTTATTGTGACATTGCTCACAATGCCACTGCAATTTTTAATCACATTTTTAATTTATTTGATTTAAAATATATGCTCTCCATCTCAATTTAATAGTGGCTTGCCCCTGTATGTCATACTTGTCCTTTAACAAGCGTTGTGCTAGTCATCTGTTAACTCCATTCAGAAGAAAAGTTTTGATTAAAATAACATGACTTCTGGCTTGCATTGGAAGTTCATATATAGTTAATCAGGTCCTCTTGCTCCTAAGGTTTCCATATCTGGTCTCGTCTTTCATCTATCCATTCATATCAACTCCATTCTCGAGATTAAAGAAAGACAGACGACAATGGGAATTTATAAGTCTACAATTTTTTCAAATTTTAGCCCTATATTTTTATTAAAGTAAAATTTTCACATTACACTTTTTTATAAATGAATATTTTTGAGATGTCTGAATAAAATATAAAATTTCTATAAAAAATATTTGCATTATGCAGTGTGTCCATAAAGTCCGTGTGCAATTTTAAAAAATGTATAACTTTATTAGTATTTGTGATAGAGAAATTATGTAGAATATATTGGAAATAAAAAAATATATATATTTTTTATTTTATATTTTATTTTAAATATA